TGGACGGCGCAACCAGATCTCCTCGTGCAGGCTACTCTGCAGGAAAGCAGTGCTGAAGTCAAGGGAGTGAAGCTCGTAGTCACGCTGAGCTGCTACGTGTAGCAGCACCCGAAGAGTGGTCATCTTCGGGGTGGGAGAGAAGGTTTGAAAGTAGTCAACTCCCTGCCGCTGACTGAAGCCACGAGCCACGTACCGCGCCTTGAAGACAGGTGGAGAGCCCGGCGGCCGCTTCACCCTGAAGATCCACATGCCACTGACGATGTTCGCCCCAGGAGGGGGAACCGCGTCAACATAGGTGCCTGTGGACTTCCAGGAAGCCATCTCTGCATCCATAGCTGCCTGCCACTGAGAGGAGTAGGGACCCTCTACGGCCTCCGCGTAAGAGCGCGCAGTCGGGATGTCTAGTGCATCCGGGTCTCCCTCAGGGGTAAGCAGTACGGACGCGAGATGAGGTGAAGCAGCAGCCAGACACTGGAACTCCTCCTGCCTGTCCTCAAGGACGTCTGTGCCAAGAGCACACTCACCCCCGACGGACGGAGGACAGACAGACGCAGACTCAGCAACAAGACTAGCAGCGTAGTCTAGACGACAGCGAGCAGCAAAGTCGACGAGCTCAGCAACAAGAGCAGACGCAGCAGTGGACTCAAAGGAGGGGTCAGTGACGACAGTAGCAAGGAGACGCGTGACAGTAGGACTGGCAGCACGAAGAGAGTCCGACTCAGGGTCGGCAAGCACAGGAAGAGACGACTCAGGAGGAGAGGGCAAAGGGGCACGCAGAGGAGCAGTGGACGGACGCAGAGACATCCGGTGCGTGCCAGGGACAGGAGGAGGACGCTGACGCGAACTGCGACCACTAGTGCGAGCAGCACGAACAGGCGACGCAGGACGAGACGCAGGCTCACGACGCTCAGCAAGACCTCCAGTAGGACCAGTGTACGGAGAAGGAGAATGCAGTGGGGAGACCGGTGGTAACTGCGACTGCGACTGGACAGGCGGTGGACACTCTAAGGGAGGAGGAAGACCAAGAACCTGCTGAAGGAGCGGAACAAAGTACGGCCGAGGCCGCGCGGCGACTCCAGACACAGCAGGGACAGCACCAGTACCCCGAGTGGCAGCACCAGCGTCAACAGCACCTCCAGCTCTAGTACCTCCAGCAGCACCTGTAGCACCCGCAGCAGGACCGCCGCCAAGACTGACAGCAGTAGCCTCAGCGCCAACACCCTCAGCAGCTCCGACTCCAGTAGCACTCGCAGGACTAGCACCTCGGAGACCGGCGGCACCAGCACCCTCAGCAGCCGAAGAAGCACCAGCTCCAGTAGTACGCCTCCAGCGCCGGGCAAACCACTCGCGCACCTCCTGTGGAGAGAGTGGCTCCCGTCGAGACGAAGCACCCGGAGAACCAGCAGGCCCAGCACCGCCAGACGCCACACGAGCAGGTCCAGCGGCCGCGGGCTCCGCACTCCCAGGCTCAGTAGCTCCAGACCCAGCACCCCAAGGCTCAGCAGCTCCAGACGCAGCACCCCCAGGCGAAGGACCCCCAGGCTCAGCACCCCCAGTCGTAGCACCCCCAGGCTCAGCACCCCCAGGCTCAGCATCCCAAGTCGCAGCATCCCCAGACGCAGCACCCCCAGGCTCAGCACCCACGCGCGCAGCACCCCCAGAGTCAGCACCCCCAGGCTCAGCACCCGCAGCAGTACAAGAGTCACCAGCAACCTCGACCGGCTCAACTGCATCTACCTGGGACACACCTGAAGGGGCAGGACCCTGAGGGGGGAGGGGGTCTACCGGGGGGGGACCTGGCACAAGGAAGTGCGGTGGCGGGGGGAGGGAAGGAGTGCGGCAGGGGAAGAGGCGGTAGTAGGGTACTGACTCGTCGAATGTGACGTCCTGGGAGGACAGAACACGTCGAGAGGTGGGGTGGTAGAACTGCCACCCAGGGGCGTCAGGGGGGAAGCCAAGGAAGACACAGGGAGCAGCACGAGGGGACAGCTTGTCCGCAGACAAGTCGCGGACAAACGCCCGAGATCCCAAGACACGGAACGCAGACGCATCGCCGACCTTCCCCGTCCACAGCAAGGCTGGGGAGGTCTCCGGTCTGGAGACCCTGGGGTGAAGGTTGATATGATGCGCTGCGTACCGAACCACAAACGGCCACAGAAAATGGGGGGCAGCCGCATGCATCATGGACGTACGAGCGACGTCCATGACCATGCCAATGCGGCGCTCAGCAATCCCATTTTGCTGTGGAGAGTCCGGAAGCGTAAAGGTCTGGCGGATGCCTCGCGCACGACAGTAGGCTCGCAGAAGGCCAGAAGAGAACTCTCCGCCTCGGTCAGAGTGCAGACGCAGAACAGGAAAGTCCGAGCCGAAGCTCCTCCTGAGCTGGAGACGAGCTGCGCGGATCCAGTCGATCAACACCTCAGCGACATCACCCTTGCTGCGCAAGGGGAAGACTGTGGTGTAACGCGAGTAGTCGTCAACCACCAGCAGGAAGTAGCGCTCGTGACCCTGTCCACGGACGCGGGCCGGGTCCCACACGTCCATGTGAAGCGTCTGCAGCGGGGCCTCTGTCGGGGGAAACTGAGAGGAGTGAGGGGCAGCTCGGAGCCGCCCCTCGACACAGGGGACACAGGAAGGACCAGGCCCCGGAGGAAGGGGAGGGAGGGACCGGGGAAGACCAGAGACAAGGACACGGGAAGCCATGCCTCGGAGACGAGGCAGGGAGGGGTGACCAAGACGGTGGTGCCAGAGGAGAGTCTCGTGAGACAGGAGGCGACACGAGCAGGGGGCAGACTCAGGACCAGACCTGGACGCTGCAGCAAACACCTGACCCGACGCAGCTACCTGACCAAACGCAGTGACTGGAGGAGACTCAGTGGTCAGTGTGTACAGGCTCGACCCCGGCCGACGTGTAAACGTGGCCAGGTGTCGGCCTGTCCGAGCGTCCGTGCAGTGGGTCACCCGCTGACTCGCAGGAGTGAACTGGTGAACCCCCGTATCCTGCAGGTCAGCACCACTCACCAAGTTTGTAGAGAACGAGGGGAGGTAAAGACCAGACAAGGTGCTAGAGGGGGCAGCCGGACACGGGAGGACAGTGGAGAAGTGAGAGAGGACAGGACCCCCAGAGGGGTCTGCCAGGGAGACTGCAACTGGCCGACGAAGCGGCGTGTGTGTGGTGCGGTCTCGAAAGAAGGAGCGAGAAGCCCCTGAGTCAAGTGTGAAGGTGAGGGAGGCCGAAGCCGACGTGGTACCTGAGAGCGCTGACTCACCAGCACCTGAGGGCGCGGACGCACTGGCACCTAGAGCAGCAGCCTCACCAGTACCTAGAGTAGCAGTACTAATGCCCGGGTCGGGCGGGAAACACCGGTAACAGTCACCCTCATCACTAATAGTCACAGCATACATGGCAGCAAGGATAGCATCAAAGTCAAGATCAAAGATAGCTACGCCTGCCCTAGACAGCTCTCCCCAGCGGGGGATCTCACTAGCCTCCGGGAACTGCTGACGCCAAGCGTCCGTCAGGCGGCCAAAGCAGCGCTGGGTGGGGTGAGCACCCCCACACTGCTCACCCGCGCGGTCGCCGGAGCGGAGGACGTAGGTGCACGGGCCAAAACCCCCACCACGCTGACGCTGCGTGTACCACTCAAGGAGCTGCTGAGGAGGGGGGATGTCCCGAGAACGCTGCTGCTGCTGCTGGCGCTGACCACTCCCGGTGCCGCTCCGCTGAGAAGTGCCACCCCGACCAGCTCCACCTCCTCCACCATCGCCGCCTCCACCTCCGCCGCCACCGCCGCCTCCGCTCCCACCGCTACCGCCACCGCCGCCTCCGCCTCCGCCGCTGCCACCGCCACCTCCACCCCCGCCACCACTCCCACCGCCACCCCCACTCCCCCCGCCGCCCCCACCGCCACCTCCACCACCCCCGCTAGCCCCACCCGCGCCCTTGCCCCCCTTGCCCTTGCCAGAGCGGCGTCTCCCGCTAGGGGCAGACGCCGCACCGACCGACTCAAGACCAACGAGGTCGGCACCCGCGACAGCACCCAACAGCACCCAACAGTAATTCGTTACCACTCGCGACACTCGCCTTGACACTATTCCCGCCACTGTTCACAATGCGACCCAACCTCACGGTTCGGTTGGGTGCTGTTCCCGCCAACAGCACCCAACAGTAATTCGTTACCACTCGCGACACTCGCCTTGACACTATTCCCGCCACTGTTCACAATGCGACCCAACCTCACGGTTCGGTTGGTAACCCGCGCTCCGGATCTCCGCCTCGACATTTCCCAACCTCGGTGCTAGGCCCGTCGTGCACCCCATTTTCCACACATTACTGTTACCAATGTAGTTTCACCATATCTTAGCTCATTGTACTCTTGCTTAGATAGTGCAATCCTCGTTTGCTCACTCCATTGCAGTTGCACATACGGGTTTCCTACGCTGGAGAGAATCTAGTAAAAGTTACTGATTTCCCTCCCTCCTTTAGTGTTACTCTTGTTTCTGTTCTTCTTAGCTCACGACTTTGTCAGTTGGTCTTGACCGTTCCTCGATATTGGAACGGCTTCCCGCCCTGCGAAAATCAAAGAAAGATCATCTGCGAGCTTCTCAGCCAACCCACGAGAGCCATGCATGCAGCCAACCAGTCATATCAAACGAAGCCAGCACATCACACGCCCTTCAGATCAGGAGCACCAAGAAACAGGTGATCTGGACCGTTGGCAGTGCCGACCTCAGTCAACTGGTGCACTAGCTTCGGCTCGGCAAGGCACCCGAAATTGGTCTGGGAGGGAAATCGAGGTTTGGGCTGGAAATTGGTCGCGATGGACCCATCGTTCATCAAATGGAAGGCCCTTGTTCATGCTGAGCCCAACATGTATCCGTACATTTGATTGCTGCTCATTGATCATTAGTTTCCTAGTACGAACTGGGTTGCTTGGCAACGTAGGGTAATTACATTCTACTTCCGGTCTCCCGCCTTCCTGCGCGTCGTTCGTTCAGCCATGGCTTCCGCTGTTGCGTCGTCGCTCTCCGTGAACCGCGCCGTCGCTGCCGCCGTGTGCGGCGGAGAGAATCGTCGTTCCGTGAGAAAATTCCTCCCCCCTTCCTTTCCCTTTTCTTTTAAGGCGCCACGGAAACGTGCTTCGTCCTCCGTTATTGTCTCGCCTTGCATTCCCGCCTTGGCGGCTCTCTTGCCTCCGTGCATTCCCCCCCTCGCCGCGGGTCCATCTTCTCATTCCAGCCTTCGCCGCTCTCTTGCGGCGAAAACACTTGGCTCGTAGAAGCCTATCGCCATGGACATAACTTGCATGCTGTCCCCTTCCTAGAATGTCACCCGGCCGTAGCAGCATTGCCACTTAGCTTCACACTCAGCTGTCACGCGTTTTTGCTTGTTCGTGCTTCCACTCGATCGCAGCGACTGTTTGTCTCGCGCTATTCCTCCACCGTCCCCTACCCATTCCCCAATGCTCTCCACTCGTTCCTCATCTTTCCACCGCCACTCACACTTCCCCTTCTTTCCTCTTCCTCTCCCCCACTCCCCCGTCCCCCTTTTCTTCCCCCCCTCCCCCCCCCCCCCCTCTCCCCCCCCCACCCACTCCCCCCTTTTCTCTCCCCCCTCCCCCCTTTCTTTCCCCTCTCCCCCCGCAGCTCGCCGCGTCGCCCCGCGCTTCCCTGCGCCTCTCGGCACCACTCCGAGCCTCTCCCCTCCCCCTCGCGCCTTCCAAATGCCGCCCGCTCCGCGCGCCCCTTCCGTCGCGGCGACCGACAGTGTGCGCCGCTGCCGCCGCTCCAGCGGCGGTGGCGGACGGCGGGCTGCTGACGCGCGTGGCCGTTGCGGCGTATTCGGCGCTCGTGCCGGCCGGGACGGCCGCTAGCATGGGACTCACGGAGTTGACGGTGAGGCGCGGAGGCGTGGGGAGGGGTGGGTGGAAGGGGAAGGATGGGGAATGGGGAGTGGATGGGGAATGTGGGGAGGAAGGGATGGGGGGGGGGGATGGGGAATGACCGACAGCATGGGCTCACAGCGCTGACCGTGAGGCGCGGAGGCATGGGGAAGAACTGTGAAGGATGGGGAAAGAATAGGAGAGGGGGGAAGTAATGGGAATGGGGGGAGGACGCGGGATGGGGGAGCATGGGAATTGTGGGGACGGTGGGAATGTGGGGACGACGGCGAAGGGAGGGTTAGAAAATTGCATTTTCGAGAAGAACGGAATGGGGAGGAGATACATAGACCATGCAAGACATGCCTTCCCTTGTGCCTTTCCTTAATGTCTGTATGTATCTGTGTGCGTGCGCGCGCGCGCGCGTGCCTGCGCATGCGTGTGTGCGCTCCTGCGTGTGTGCGAATGCGTGTGCGTGCGCGCGGGTCTGTGTGCATGCGTGCGTGCATTTGTGCATGTGTGCGTGCGCGCGGGTCTGTGTGCATGCGTGTGTGCATTTGTGCATGTGTGCGTGCGCGCGGGTCTGTGTGCATGTGTGCGTGCATGCGTGCGTTGCATGTGTGCGTTGCATGCGTGCGTGCATGTGTGCATGTGTACGTGGATGTGTGTATACGTGTGCACGCATGCACACCCCCCATCAGGTGGTGCTGGCCCTGAGAGAGACCATCATCGCGCTCGCCACTGCTGCCATCTTCTTCAACGCGCCCAAGATCTGCCGCCTCGTCAACTAGTAAGACAACATGCCGCCTCGTCAAATAGTAAGAGGATATGCCGCCTCGTCAACCAGTGAGAAGGTATGCCGCCTCGTCAATCAGTAGGAGAAGATTCTCAATGCACCATGTCCCCCCACCTCGCACCATGATCAGTGCTGTCCAATCCTCCATGCCCCATGCCTCAAGCACGACGCCCCATTGCTCCATGCCCAATGCCCCATGCACAATGCTCTCTGCCGAATGCACCATGCACAATGTTCGGTGCACTCACCCTCAGACGTGCCCACTCACCGCCTCCGCAACTTAGCGTGTTTGGTGCATTCATCCGCCCTCCCTTCCCTCCCACAACCCGCCCTTTCCCCTCTCCCCCTCGGCTTCTGGCAGCGTGTGGGGGACGCTGATCATGCGCGACGACGAGGTGACGGAGGAGGAGTTTCAGGACAGCATGTTCGGTGCGCTCGTGCGGCCGCTGCAGTTCGTCCTCATCTCCTTCTTCCTCACCCACCAGTCAGTCGCCTCTTATTCTCCTCCTCCTCACCTCTCACTCTCCTCCTCGCCGCCTCTCACTCTCCTTTTTCCCACCTCTCACTCTCCTCACCTCTCACTCTCCTCACCTCTCACTCTCCTCCTCGCCGCCTCTCACTCTCCTTTTCCCCACCTCTCACTCTCCTCCCCACCTCTCACTCTCCTCCTCCACCTCTCACTCTCCTCCCCACTTCTCACTCTCCTCCCCACTTCTCACTCTCCTCCCCACTTCTCACTCTCCTCCCCACTCCTCACTCTCCTCCCCACCTCTCACTCTCCTCCCAACCTCTCACTCTCCTCCCCACCTCTCACTCTCCTCCCCACCTCTCACTCTCCTCCCCACCTCTCACTCTCCTCCCCACCTCTCACTCTCCTCCCCACCTCTCACTCTCCTCCCCACCTCTCACTCTCCTCCCCACTTCTCAATCTCCTCCCGCCTTTCGCGCTGCTCCATCCTCTGCCACTCTCCTTGTCAATCACCCTATCCCTTCTTGTAAGTGCTTTCAGCCTGCGCCTGCTGGTGCCACTGCTGAAACTACCAGTGGCAGCGGCAATGGTGGGGAAAATGTGTGGCCTTCCCCTATCCATCCCCCTATGCCCCCCGCCTGCTACAATCACCGTTTCCCCCCTCTCACCCTATCTCCCCCACCTGTATTTGCCAGCCTGCGCCTGCTGGTGCCGCTGCTGAAGCTGCCCGTGACAGCAGCAATGGTGGGGAAGGCGCGGCTGTTGGCATGGGTGGCAGCTGCTACGTGGTTCGCGACGGGATGGAAGGACCGCGTCTTGAAGCTCGTGGCTGCTTCTCACCCCGAGGATAAGGTGAGGCGCAGGGGCAAGGCAGGGACGAGGGATGGGGCTTTGGGGTCAAGCTGAGAAGATGGGCTCGGGAAGAGGGACACATTGGGCTAGTGGCAGCAGTGGCGGCAGCGGTGGCTGCAGCAACGTGGTTTGCGACGGGGTGGAAGGACCGAGTCTTGAAGCTCGTGGCTGCTGCTCACGATGGGGGACAAGGTGAGGGCGAGATGGGGTGTAAGGTCAAGGTGGGCAAGATGGGGGAGATGAGAGGGATAGATGAGGGACAAGGTGCGAACAGTAGCAGCGGTAGCAATGATGGCAGTGGCAGCAGCTACGGGTTTCCTTACGGGGTAGAAGGACGGAGCCATGAAGCTTGTGGCTGCTTCTCACTCCGAGGATAAGGTGAGTGAGGGCGAGATGGGGTTTGGGGCGTTAAGACAAAGTGGAGCATGGGTGGCAAGCTGGACGAAATAGGTGAGTGGGGCGTGCGTTTGGCCCTCTCCATACCCCCTCCCTGGCCCCCATGCCCATCATCCCGCCCATTCTCCTCCATACCTGCTCCATGCTCCCCCATCCCACACCCGCAGCCGGTTCTGGCGAACGTGAGCAAGCTGCTGACGCTGCTGCTGCGGGTGGCGGCGGTGGGCACGCTGGCAGAGATGATGGGCTTCAGCCTCAAGTCGCTCATCGCTGTGGGAGGAATCTCAGGTGGGTGTTGTGTTGAGAGGCATCTCAAATGGGTGATGTGATGTGAGAGCGTCATGTTTTCTTCCCAAGTCCACATCGCTCCCAATCATTCTACCTGCCACGTCCCAGCAAGTCCGCTCACAACCACCCAGCAGCAGCTGTCGTCCCCCTCTCCCCTCATTCTCTCCTAGTCTCGCACCCCTTGCTTCATCGCTGCTCCTCTCCCATCCCTACTCTCTCTCTCCACGCGAGACCGCCAGCCCGTCCATCTGCCAAACCTCTCCTGCCATAAGTCTGAGCCCACTCAACCTTTCCCCCCTTTTGTCGTACCCCTCCCTTTTCCTATATTCCCCCCTTTTTTCTCTGATTGTCCCCTCCCCCATTAACACCCCCCAGGTGTGGCCATTGCGTTTGCCTCCAAGGAGATAGTGACCGTCTTAATGTCCCCCTAAAAGGCCACTCTTTCCTCTGCTCTCCCACGCGCCCCCACCCCTTCAACACCCTCTTCCTAAACCCCCCCTTTTTTCCCTAACCTTCCCGTCCCCCATCTCCCCCCACCAGGTGTGGCGATTGGGTTCGCCTCCAAGGAGATAGTGACCAACTTCTTTGGCGGGCTCATCCTGTTGTGTGCCTATTCAAACGCCACTCTCCCTTTTCACCTATCCCACCCTCCCCCCTCCCTCCCTCCCTCCCTCCCTCCCTCCCTCGCCACAATCTTCCCCAGGTGTGGCCATCGGGTTTGCGTCCAAGGAGATAGTGACCAACTTCTTCGGCAGGCTCATCCTGTTGTGTGCCCACTCAAATGCCACTCTCCCTTTTCACCTTTCCCACCCTTCCCCTTCCTCCCTCACCACAAACTTTCCCAGGTGTGGCGATTGGTTTCGCGTCCAAGGAGATAGTGACCAACTTCTTTGGCGGGCTCATCCTGTTCCTGACGCAGCCGTTTGTGGTGGGCGACAAGATCAAGGCGGGCAGCGTGACGGGGCGCGTGAGAGAGATCGGCTTCCTGCAGACCAAGCTCGAGGCCGACGACAACTCGCCCATCGTTGTGCCCAACTACATCTTCAACACCGCTGTGAGTTGCCTGACAACTTCTTTTAGGCAGTTAAAAGTGAATGTCAATTCGCCATCGTCGTGCCCAACTACATCTTCAACACCGCTGTGAGTTGCCTGACAACTTCTTTTAGGCTGTTAAAAGTGAATGTCAATTCGCCATCGTCGTGCCCAACTACATCTTCAACACCGCTGTCAGTGACGTTGCCTCCCATCCCTACTGCTCTCCCCTCTCTTCCAATCCACTGTCAGTGCTCCCATCCCTCTTGCTCGCTCTGCCCTCCCTGCCCCCCGTCCCCCCTGCTCTCCCTCCTTTCGTACTTCATCACACACCAACCCCCTTTTTGGCCCTCCCTTCCCTTCCTGTTCCCTATCTACCTCTCCCTCCGTCCTCACATTCAGGTTGTGACCAACTACTCCCGTGCGGGCTGCCTGGCTCTGGAGGCCACGTTTGTGCTGCGCAACGAGGACATCATCCGCATCCGCCCCATCACAGAGAAGCTCACGGCGTACCTGCGCGCGCACCCGCTGGTGGACGTCACCAAGGGCCCCACGCTCGGGTACCTCAAGAAGCTCTCCGGCACGGGGCTGGAGGTCGGCATCATCGCCTACGTGCAGGACATGGTGCGTGGGAGGGGGGAAATTGGATGATCGCAGCATTGATACGTTGTTACAACTTGCAGTGTTCGTAGGTGAAATTGACAGAAGAATGAACCCCGTACATTTTGCTAGCAAAAGTTGAAGACCAATGATCACAATGGCATGATAGCAGGAATGCATTAGCAATCTAGCAAGGAGCAAGTCGCTCTCCAACGCAACACAAATGCCAAGCACGCAAGTCGACGGGGCGCCAACGCAGTCGAAAGGCGGCTTGCCAACACTGTAAGGTGACGACCTGTCAGCGTTGCACCAAGGGCGGCTTGCCAACGCTGCTGCAAGACGATCCGTCAGCGTTGCAACCGCATGTGACCATGTGCGCACATGTGTGATATGTCAAGTAGGTGCAGGTAGACAATTGCATCGCAAGCACATTGCGTAGGTTCCCAGGTCGACGCTTGCGCAAGATGCACAATGTCGGCCACGTGCTGTTCGTCCTCCAGGCCGACTTCGGCAAAACCACCTGCGACGAAGTTCGCGCAGTCCTGCAGAACTTCGTTGACCAGTTAACAAGTTGACCAGAAGAGACTGCTAAGCCGGCGCCAACTTCGGCGCTCGTCGGTCGACGTCATCACTTTCATCGGCCAACTAGGTTTGACGCCGTCTGTAAACTTGTCTTCGTAGGCCAGATTCTAGCCGACTTTGCTAAAGTCGGTTCCGTAGAAGTCGGCATCGTCGAGGTCCGCGGCCAAACAAGTCAACTTGCACACCTTGCACGCCGAACGAAGTCGGCTTCGCCCAAGCAAGGGCAGGGCCTTATCTCGTCAACACAGCCTGTTTTTCTTTTACAAAATATACTGTACAACTTGTCTCCACCCTTCTCCATCCCTCTCTACCGCTCTCCACTTCTCTTTACCCCGCTCCCTTCCCTTCACCAGGAGGACGATGAGTACCTGGCGGTGCAGCAGGAGATTCTGGAGCAGAGTGTGGAGATCATCGTGGAGGAGGGGGCCTACCTCGGGGAGAGCGCGCCCTTTGAGCCCTCCGTCTCCCTCGCCGCCTAGGTCAGTGTGTATGTGTGTGTATGTGTGTGTGTATGTGTGTGTACATGTAAGTGTGTGTATCTGTATGTATGTGTGTGTATGTATGTATATCTCTTTTAGGCGCCTACCTCGGGGAGAACGCGCCCTTTGAGCCATCTCCCTCGCCGCCTAGAGCCCCTTCGCCAGGTCTGTGTGTGTGTGTGTGTGTGTGTGTGTGTGTGTGTGTGTGTGTGTGTGTGTGTGTGTGTGTGTGTGTGCGTGCGCGCGCGCGCGCGTGTGCGTGCGTGCGTGCGTGCGTGTGTGTGTGCGTGCCTCTTTTAGAATACATCGGGGAGAGTGCGTCATAAACCTCCAAATAGTCACTCTTTCCCCTTCCTCACGATCCTCACTCCGTGCCCTTTCTACCATCTCCTGTGTACTCCCAAGCTCCTCCAGCCCCTCTGCTCTTCCCGTGTGCATCGTGTGTTCTCTTCATCACGTTTTCCTTGTGGTGCCGGAATGCAAGCGTGAGTCTCACTAGTTGGTACTGCTGTGCAACAGCCCCACTGCCATCACCATCTCACTCCCGAGTCCCACCGCTGTCTCTGCCATGCAGGAAAAGAAGTTGGCTGGGCCAGCAAGAGGTCCACTCAACAACGCTACAGCCGAGACTTGCTGCAGTCAAACGCCACTGTCTTGCAACAAGGGGGTTGTCCCACTCACCCTCCGCCACCACCTGTCCCACCGCCTAAATCACCCCCACCCACTGCCACCTCCACCTCTCAACCATTCCGCAGCCAAGCCCTGCTACAGTCAGATGTGAAGGAGTCAGGCAACAAGGGAGAACCTGCACTCCAACAACATAGTGTAGTCAATCTTGGGTTTGTTTCCCTACTTTATGAAACTTCAGAGACTTCTATGCAAGTTGCAGTACGCTAGCTACCGTAGGTTTGCATTGCACATGCTCTCTACAGCATGATATATTTCAGTTGGCAAATAAGGTGTAGCATTTTGTCAAGAACAGAAGAACGTGTTGACTAAGGTTGGTTGGGTACATGAACCTACTCTAAATAATGTACCCCATAATGTTGGGCTGAGTGCCCCTTAGGATCTTTGGTAGGGTTAATCTCTGGGTAGAATGATGTAGTAGCGGAAGCGTTAACAAAGAGATTCTGAACCACCTTGCGCTAGTATGTGAGGGCAAAGTAAGTTAATTAAAACAAGGAGATACAAGATTTTATATATGATTACAAGGAATACGAAGAGATACGAATGATAACTGTTTTACTGTTGGCTGTTGCGGTTCGATACAGTGCGACTCGGGCAACTGCTCAATATCGAGTCAGGTGTGTGTCCTTGCTGTCGCGCTGCATTTGTCAAGTCAAAGGTCGCTGACCTTTGACCTTCGCGTAACCTCCAGCTGTTGCTTCAACTTCCGAGGGTTGACTCGCTGGTGCCTCGATATGCGTTGCTTCACTTGTGTCTTTAGTGTTTCGACACGACAGAGGCGCTTAGGACCGATTGTTTCCAACACTCCCCTTCGCTTCTGGAGTGTCGCTGACGTGGCTCTGTCCAGTCAGCAGCATGCAATATTCGAATTTCTGCTTTCCGAGCTTCTTGGTCAGGTAGTCAGCTGCCATTTCGGACGTGGGGCAGTATGACAGCTCGAGCCTTCCCTTCTCGATCTCGTCCTTCACGAAGAAGAATCGCAGGGCGATGTGTTTCGTCCTGTTCGCAAAACCGTTCTTGTTGGCGATGCGAATTGCCGACTGGTTGTCGCAGAACAGGGTAAAGTTGGGTAACTCGGCTAACTTCGCTTCTTCCAGCAGCTCGCGAAGATAGAGTCCTTCCTTGGTGGCTGAGCAGAGTGCAATATATTCTGCTTCAGCTGACGAGAGAGCAATTAGTTCCTGCTTGCTCGATTGCCAGGAGATAGGCCCGATAGGCTCGAAGCGATAGATGTAGCCGGTGCGTGATCGTCTGTTGTCGGAGTCGCCCGCGTGATCTGCGTCGACGTAACCGATTAGCTTAGGTGGCGTGGTCGCGTTCTTGTGATATGTTAGGCCGATCGTTGGCGTACTGACGAGATAGTGTAGAGCGCGGTCGAGTTCGGCCATGTGTTTTGCTTCAGGCCTTTTGAGATGAGTGGCGAGCTGGCTTGCGGAGTATGAGAGGTCGGGGCGGCAGGTAACGGCTGCGAAGAGAAGGCATCCTAGCTTTCTCTGGTAGTCGCGTATCCCGGCAGATTTGAGTAGAGTGGATCCTTCCTCGTGGTTTCCTGTCGCGTAGCGGTAGGGCGTAGAGATGGTGGTAGGCGTGAGCGTGAAGCGTTTGGCGATGGTGTCGGCGTACTTAGTGGCGTTGAGGTAGATCGCATCTTCTTCCTCTCGAATGTTCAAGCCGAGGTACTGTGTGACGGTAGAGGAGACCGTGAGTGTGAGGTCCCTCTGTAACTCCCCTTCGAACCAGGTGGTGATATCGTCAGTGGAGCCGATGTAGAGTAGGTCGTCTACGTAGACGATCAGCAGGATGTAGTTGGTACCCTTCGTGAGTCGGTACATTCCTTGGTCGTGAGGTAGTTGGCACCCCTTGCCGTGAGTCACTTCAGCCGAACCCAACGTACGCAGCTATCGCCCAAAGCGAGCCGTCCGAGAAAGACACCTGGTTCTTGGATAGTTGCTGCAGACAACACATGTGCTCCTTGGGTCGCTTCATCCAACGAGAACATCAACTCCAACGCACAGTCGTCATCACCGTCGCCAACAACCAGAACTTGCGCACAAGACGACAAGGCATGGTTCAACTTCAGTCACGGGAGACGAACGTTATACTGTAGATGTCAAAAGTTTTAATCACGGAGGGACTCGGCTACAACTTACTCAGTGTTAGTCAGCTGATGGCGAAAGGCATTCACCTCGAAGCAGACAACACCACCCAAGAATTCAAGTTGTACCACGGGAGAGGCGGACTCTACATCGGGAAAGCTGTGTTGAAGAACAACGTCTTCGTTCTTGATTTCGTTCCAGACTTAGGCACCGCCAACAGCGACGCCATCGTTAACTTCACTTCTTGGACACACCCGTCGGATCTTGATCCGGAATTCAGTCCGAGCGGCTTCTGGTATTCGCACACTATACCTGAGGCAGAACGAACAAGGGCATTAGCAACGATTCAACACTTGGCAGCAGCAAACTCAACACCAGCAGCAGGAGAGACAACATCGGCAGTAGCAGAGACAACACCAGCAACAGCAGAGACAACATTGGCAGCAGCAGAGACAACAACAGCAGCAGCAGAGACAACATCGGCACTAATCGCGGGTCCTTCAACAGCACCAGCCTTCGTCGACAACACACCACCGACTCTCACGCAGCAGCTGAACCCAACTCTACGAGAAGTCCATCAAAGCGCAAACTTCACCGCAAGCTTCTACTCCAACTCTGACCTGTACAGATGCTCACCTGGACATCGCGCCACTGAAGGAACCTGGCACGCAAGAATGGGACATCCAAGCAACACGGCGTTAAACAACACAATAAAAGCAGGCGTGCTCGACAAGGATTCACTAGTTTTAACCGACGGCAGAGAACTCCAACGAGTTCGCGGAACGTGCTTCACCTGCCCTGAAGCTGACTTACCGCATCAGCCATTCGTCTCGCATCACAACCCAAGCGCACCAGCATACGCACCTCTGGAGAAAGTGTAGAGCGACATCCTGCACAACCACGAACCTGGACAAGGAGCATACAATTACGTCATCACGTTCATCGATGCCGCCACACGATACGTCTGGCACCTCAATCTCCCAAGCCGCGACATGGCCTTCGAAGCCTTCGTCGCATGGCTCCCAGTAGCAGAATGAGAATCAGGCGTAAAGCTAAAAAGCTTCCAGTCAGACGGAGCAGGGGAATACACATCATAGCAGTTCAAGGACTACTTGGCAGATTGAGGAATCAAGCGCCTCATCTCCCTTCCCTACGCCCATCAACAGCAGGGTGTAGCGGAAAGAATGAACAGGACTCTCCAGAAAACCATGCGCAAGCTGCTACGTGGCATGCGGCTACCCAACCACGAGTGGCCCAAAGCAATTGACCACGCCGTGATGCTGCACAACTTGCTCTCGTCTTTATCGCTCCCGAACAACGCATCACCGCAACAACTGTGGACAGGGAAATTGGGCAGCGCAAAAATGTTGCGATTTTTTGGCTGCATGGTACAATACCGACCCCCATCTGCACGAGCCGGCCGATTTTCCCAACGTGCACAGTGGGGACTACACCTGGGCATCGAAAAACATTACAATGCATGGAAGATTTTTGACATCAACACAAAAGAAACAGTAGCAGCACATGATGTCATCTTCTACGAAAACCTCACCCTTCGGACATACCTTGCCAACGTGGAAGAAGGAAACCTAGACCTCTCAGGTAGATTTCTTGGCACCCGAGCCTTCGCCTCGGCAGAGGATGAAGCTGACTAGGACGAGCAGAACGTGGACAGAGTCTTAGAGGAAGCCGGACCTCTTCCCTACTACTCGGTTGATGTTCCGATGGACGACGAAGATCCTCGCGAAAGCATCAACGCCGAACTTTACTACCACTTCGCCGACAGCGGTTCCATTACACCTGCAAGAGTAAACACCAACGAAGCAGAACGCGTAGGACCCAACTTTGCACCTAATCCTGAAGCGGGAGACAAAGCAGTCTATCCCGAGGACACATCTCTTCCCCGCTACACACAGAGCGGACTCCGGATACTTGGCCTCGTCATCGCGGTTCACGGCACAGAAATTCCTAAAGAGCCTGCCACAGTTCAGCAGGCTCTGGGGGGGGAGCATAGGGAAAAATGGCGCAAAGTTATGGACAGGGAGCTGAAAGCGCTGGAAGAACGGAACACCTGGAAAATCGTTCCCATCGGCGTGGCACGCAACAAAACGGTACTCACCAGAAAATGGGTCTTCCGTGTGAAAACAAAGGCAGACGGCACCATCAACAAGTTTAAGGCGCGCTGGGTCGTGTGCGGCTTCGACCAAGAGCACGGAC